TATCCAGGAAGGGGAGTGTGTTGTTGTTTTCTTCTTTCCTTGTGGATTTTATTCCTTTGAAGATGTTGTTGATTGTTTCATGTGTCTTCTCTAGTTGTTCCTTTTTTTATTACGACAAAGGTGTCATCTACATACCAGATCCATACTTTTGGTTGTGTCAGGTTCAGCCCAAGGAGAACAATGAGACAATCCAGTCCAGTCCAGTTCCTTTATTACCTTGCACCTAATAGACAGAATCTCACCAGACTAAACTTATGCTAAAGCAACTAGTTGATATAACTCCATGAGACTCTAGGGAGGGGCTAGCCTCATCCTCTTCCTCTTCCCACGCTCTTGCTGCAGACTGAGAAAGTGCTTGCTCTGGGATGTTCCCCCTCCCTCTTGATAACCTTGATCCTCTATTCCAGTATCTTCCTCGCTCAAGCCTTCCATCACAGGTTGTATGTGTGGAAGTGCTATAGTTTCTAGATGCTGCATTACAATCTCTGCTATGAGTCCTGAGAGTGGTGATCCCATGGGTGTTCCTCTGATTATTGGTATATTTGTCCATTAAACTGAAAATAAGTAGTGAGGCAGAGGCTGATGAGGTCTATGATTCTGGCTATTTCAATTTTACTGTATTTGGTTAGGTTGGGTGTGTTGTGTACTACTGTTGCCATGGATTATTTTGCTAGTTCTGGGTCTATGGATGTAAAGAGTGCCATGACATCAAATGAAACCATAATTTCATCTTCATCTATTTTAGGTCTTGGATTTTTTCTGGAGGCACTGTAGTGGGGAGTTGATAGAATATTTGCTTCCCTCTGTGAGATGTCCAAGCTTTTTTGTAAGTTCTTTCGCTGTGTTGTATGTTGGGGTTCCTGGTAACAATGCAACCGGTTGGAGAGGTACGTTGGGCTTGTGTATTTCTGGGCATCAATAGAAGTATGGGAGGATGGGTCCACTGCTTTTCATCCACCACTGTTCTTCTTTTGTGATTTGGCCTTTCTTGGTTAGGTTATTAAGGGTTGTCTAGTTTCTGTATCAGGTTGATGTTTACTGGGATGTAGGTTTCTTTGTCCTCCAGTAATTCTTTCACTTTTTTATGTATTGTGACCTATCCATGATAATTGTGGTTTGGCCATTGTCTGCTAGGAGGAGGATGAAACTATAGAGCTTCTTTGATTAATTGTGATGTTACATAAAATGGCCTACATGCAGGTTAGACGCACCTCCTTTGGAGGACTGTCTATTTCAATACCTATTAGAAAAGGAATTAAGTTGCTTACAAAACTTGGTCTCCTTTTTCAACTTTCTATCAATTCTATTCTTCAAGCTCTGTCTAAAAGCAAGTTTCTCAGTCTTGGTTTCCTCATGTTTCTCTGGACTTCATTTCCCCACCCTGTTAGCTTTTCACAAAGTCGTTAAGGCCTGCTTGAGCAGGCCTTTTGGGGCTGTGGGAATTTATTTTAGTCTCTCTTGATGAGAACAGTTTTATGGTTGTTATTTGGCATGTAAGTTGTTATTTATTACACTGTTATAGTATTATACTGTTATGCTTATATTGTTACCTTTAGTTTTAATCTTATTACCATATCATAAGCCTGTAAGCTGTTCAGAGTCAGTCATAGCTGGAGCAACAAACAAACCCAGTACCATCAATCGATCAATTTCACCCACCAAAGTTAGCGAATAAACCCCTAACTATCCTCCTCTATGCTGATGATGAAGGCATCTTATCCCTGACACATGAGGGTCTCAGCCAGAGCTTGCAAGCATTGGCAACAATTTGCAATGAAGAAAAATTGGTCGCCCACTTTCAAAAGAAAGGTTTTGTTTACTAAGAGGCAAGCTAACTGCTTTTACAATTGCACAGAATGGTATCTGTAATTGAACAAGTCAAAGACTTGTCCAACACCTAGATGTCTTCATCTAAACATCTACAACTTTGAAGAAACCAATACAGGCACACAATAGTTCAGGCCCCAAAGATTCAGAATGCCATAACTCAGTCTGCTACCTGTAGTGAGTATCATTCTGAAGTCAAACTATTCAGATCTAAGATATTGAGCCTTGTGCTTTGTGCAGCTTGGTCCTGCTTTGGTAATGATAATGGCATAAGACCCTTAGAGGTAATTCAATCCACATTCTTAAGAACTATGGTATGTGTCTCCCAATAGGTGTCAGATATGTGCTCTTCTGTACTTGCAAACTGGCTTTCCCTCTGTAGACACTTATAAAAGATCTTGCCAGTTAAAGTAGAGCTTACCTTTATGGAGGGATCCTTAGCCCGGTTAGTCCTATCTGATAAATGTGTTTCTTCTTGGAAGCAAAGCATGATTACAGACTTAAATGATTGTGGTATCCCACAGCACTTCTTGATGTTGCTGAAGTTTGAGAGAGCTTGTTTAGAGACAAGAAACAAGTTCTTGGCCTAGATTTACAGAGAAAGAGGAGGAAAGTTCCTCCCAATTGTAATGGTAGCCTCTGGGGTAGATCTGTCACATTGCCTGATTACTTCACTAACATCCTCTCTATCTTGCATGGAAGAGTATTCTCATTGGCTAGATTTAGTACTCTGCCATCAATGGTTTTGAGAGATACTTATCTGACAGGGGAGATACCTTGAACATGAAGGAGGTTTTCCCAAGCTGAGGCTCATACATTGCACTCTGGGTGTGCTCACCCCTGTGATTTCCCCAAATGTGAAAAACTTGACTGCATAATTTGTGGTAGTGGGAGAGTGTGTTTGTGCCTACTCCTGAAAAGGGAAACAAACATAAAATAAAAATGGTTTGTGGGGGGGAGTTATATAACATTCTGTCTCAAGTTTGCCTATCTCCCTGTTGGGTCGGGACAATTGACACCATTTGTCTTCCTGTGCTGTCCTCTGTATCAATCCTGGTACTCTGAATTAATGCCATTTTTGCTAACCAATCATTTAGGTTGGTCAAAAAAAGCAAAACTTTTTTTTCTTGTTAGTGGAAACATCTCCAGAAACATCTAGGAGAGTTGCCAAGGTTTGTGTGATTGTAACAGCCATAAGAGGGCTCTGGGTTTAATACTGAAAATGTTTATTCATTAATTTATTCATTTCCTAACTCTATTCATTTTACTAATTGTTTGGCTCTTATTATACTAACTGTTTGTTTGGTGCTATGTGATTGTAATTTTATTAATTTTGACTGTAAATAAATTAACCACAGTTATAATATTTAGCCTCAGTGAGATGGTGCCAACAAGATCACATCAAAACTAGTAAGAAAAGGATGGTGGAGTGGTGGAGAAAGAGATATTGCCTTGTCCTAAGCAAAATATATGGCCACTGCTACATGGTTATGTCTGACTAACTCTGACAGCCTCTAAAGTGTCCAGGACCTTACAAAGTCCTAATGCTCCTTGAAACTAGCATGAATCAGCTCCACCTATGCTTAATTACTGGGCCTGCAAGACTCCTGTGTTACAAGAATAATCTTGTATCATGTTGTTGATTCATCGACCAGAGGCAACTGCAAGACAGTAGCTAAGGTCAACAATCATTAAATTGTAAAACATTTCTCCCTGTTTCCCTTCCTCATGAGAGAGGATAAACAAGTATAACTCCACATCTTTGTTATTACAAGTCATTCAGGTATTCTAATGTCATGTCCCAAAACTGGTCAGTCCAGTTACACAAAGAGGTGAAAAAACAGTCAAATGATGCTTGTTTATGTTTATAAATAAGGGAACACTGAGACTGAAAAACAACAATTACTACAAGGACAGGGATGGGTGGGTGGGTGGGTGGATGATAGGTAGATAGACAGACAGACAGACAGACAGACAGACAGGTTTCACTGGCAATTTTTAAACTGTTGGGAGTCAAGAGCTCATAGAGATCTACAGCAAATCACTCAAAGTGGTTGAGGTAAGACAGAAGGAACAGTATCCAGGAATCCAAAATCCAGATCCCTCCTGAACTGGATCACTGAAATCTATGGACTCACTGAGAAGAAGATGTGTGCGTATTAGTTTTCCTGCAGGCAGTAAAGTTAATTAATCTGCTCTCAGGTAATGAAAGAGTAATTATCACAGTCCTGAGCATGCCACATGTATCCAACACTACTCAATACTTTCTTGCAACTGTACTTTGTGTCTTCACCTCACTTCACTACCAGGAATTTTACCAATGATTTGCTCTGGATATGAGTTAGGGTAAAACTGGAGATAGTGCAAACTATCATACAATATCCTTGATATCACATGCTAGCAAAATAATGTTCAGGATCATCCAACACAGATTAGAGCAATACATGGAAAAATATGCCAGATGTTCAAGCTGGCTTTAGAAAAGGCCAAGGAACACAAGACATTATTGCTCATGCATGCTGGATAATTGAGAAAGCCAAAGAATATCAAAAAGAAGTCACTATGTGCTTCATTGATTATAGAAAGGCCTAAATGAAGGATAATTGAGAAAGCCAAAGAATATCCTATGCTAATGACACTACCCTGCTCATGCATGCTGGATAATTGAGAAAGCCAAAGAATATCAAAAAGAAGTCACTATGTGCTTCATTGATTATAGAAAGGCCTAAATGAAGTCGATCACTTCAAGCTGTGGAAAGGGCTCAGAAAAATGGGAATCCCAGAACATCTCATTGTTCTCATGAGGAATTTATACACAGGTCAGGAAACTACTGTCCAGGCAGAACATGATGAAACAGACTGGCTCCAGGTTGGCAAAGTCTGTATACTCTCCCATTATTTATTCAACTTCTATGACGAATATATATTAAGGAAAGCTGGATTGGAGAAGATGAGAAGAAAATTGGAGGAAGAAACTTCAATAATCTGCGCTATGCTAATGACACTACCCTGATAGCCAAAAATGCAAAGGATCTGCAAGCTCTACTAATAAAAGTCCAGAAGCAAAGTGAAAAAATGGGACTAAAATTAAATATAAAAAAACCCAAATGACAACAGGTACAACAACTAGTGTTAGTACTGATAATGAAGATATCAGTGTGTTGGATAGCTTCTGCCTTTTAGGGTCAACCATCAATAGGAAAGGAACAAGCAGTCAAGAAATACACCACAGATTAGCACTTAGTAGAATAGTCATGAAGGCCTTGGAAAAGATATTCAAATGCTGTGATGTGTCTATACTTACAAAGACCAGAATTGTGCAAACCATGGTACTGTATTCCCTGTGACACTCTATGGAAGTGACTTTGAAGAAGCAGGATAGGAACAATATTGACACTTTTGAACTTTGGTGTTGGAGAAGACTTCTGAGAATATTATGGACAGCCAAGAAAACAAACAAATGGATCATCAAACAAATCAACCCAGAATTCTCTTGAGGCACAAATTACCAGGCTCAAATTATCCTACTTTGGACACATTATACAAACACCTAGCTCTCTGAAGAAGGCTCTAATGCTAGGAATTGTGGAAGGAAAGAGAAGAAGAGGACAACCAGCAGGG